ATAATTCCGCTTGATTTGTTGTTAAACAATCTCAGAACTCCCTCTTTTTCAAAATATCTTTCCCCAGTGGATCGATTTTTTGTCAGCTTAAATCATATCCCTCATTTTTTATTTTTGGTTATTCTAAACCATGCATCGCTTTTGGTTTTCATACCGTCCCTTTGGTTTTTAAACCTTGTCTTAGGTTATAGGTCATCCTAAAACCTTGTCTTTGGTTCCTGGTCATCTTTAAATCTTGTTTTAGGTTCTAGGTCATCCTTAAACCTTGTATTTGATTCCAGGTCATCCTTAAACCTTGTCTTAGGTTCTAGGTCATCTTTAAACCTTATCTTAGGTTCTAGGTCATTCTTAAACCTTGTCTTAGGTTTCTGGTCATCCTTAAACCTTATCTTTGGTTCTAGGTCATCCTTAAATCTTGTCTTAGATTCTAGATCATCCTTAAACCTTGTCTTAGGTTTGTGGTCATCCTTAAACCTTATCCTTTGGTTTTTGGTCATCCTTAAACCTTGCCTTAGGTTCCTGGTTATCCTTAAACCTTGTTCTTTAGGTTTTTGGTTATCCTTAAACTATAGATTTCCTACAAAACCCATTATTTTTCTTTTCTTCCTTCATTCCACCATATGAGAGAGAGAAGAGAAAAACACATGAATGAGCTGACAATCCAAATGGTCAATGGTAAGTGCTTAATGTAAGACTCTGATCAAATGTCTTTGTCTTTACTTTCGTTCATTTCCCAAGTCGAGTCGATTAAAAATTTACAGGTGCCAATTGATCTTTAAACGGAACCTCTTCGAACTCCCACTCAAAGAGGGGTAGCTATTGACACTTAATTTTTAGCCAACGCGTCATTAAAAAATAAAAAACTCAAGATGAGGGTTTCCAATCGCAACTGAATCCGTTTTTTGAACAAAAAGTGTCATTTTTTAATTATGTCTGTTGGCTTAGCTTCGGTAAACAGTTTAATGTTCATTTCATGCAAAAACCCGAAAGTCAAACGGTTAACTTTCGGGTTGACTTTTTGGTCAACCCTTTGACCAAAAGTCAACCATGGGTCAAGTTGGGGCTTTTCACATAAAAAGATTCCTTTCAAGTTTAATTTCACTTTAGAAGTGGAAATTTTAGAAAAATTCAAAGATTTGATCATAAAATCAAATTACTAGTAAAAAATCAACTAGGTTTTGACTTTTGGTCAAACCTTTGACCAAAAAATTGAAAAATACAAAAATCCCAAAATCAACTTATTTTACATTCAATTTGACTTTAGCATTTGAAATTTTTCAAAAATTGATTAAGAACCTACTTTTTCCCAATTTGCGGAAATAGGTTCGGAATCGGCCAAAAACAAAATTACTTTCATCTTGTTCATATTTTAGCTTAGTTCCTTTTATGACATTTGATCCAAAGGTCATCATAAGATCACTCGTGCGACCAATTTTGTGAATGAGCACTTTGAAATTAAAACCCCCAAATTTTAGCCCTAATTAGGGGTTTGAATCAATTCTTCACGATTCACGAATGGTTGGTTTCCTTTGACTTGTTTTTATGAGATAAACACGAATCCGGAGTCAATTTTGCGAAATTCACTTGAAAACTCTCCACTTTTACACATTTAGCTCACTTGAATTTGGGGATTAGGAGTTATTGAAGTCCAATTGATGAAATTCAAGTTGACCCATTCGGGACTAAGGTTTAATTTGATGAATTGAGGTTCAATTTCAACATTGGCCTTAAATTTAATTTTGACATGAAGGTCACGCATCCATTTCAATGTTGATTTGAATGCAATAGGTCACTATAAGCATGGGCAATTGGTTCAATAAGCATTTCACAAGTCTAATTAAACTCAATTTAGAATAATTTGCAAATTTTGGCGAGAAATTGTGATGCCGAAACGCGATAGAAAAATTGACTGAACAAGAAAATTCGACAGAAGAATAATTCGTCCTCCAAATATGATTATCAAATCAAAAATATCCAAGTCTGCTAAAAAGAAACCCTAAAACAAGTTTATATAACCCCAAACCAAGCCCTACTAGGATTAGGAAACATTAAAACGTAAAATTACGAAACTACTCTTTACTAAATTAACCCATAAAAAATACTAAAAAAAAGAAAAACCCCATATAAATAATCTCGAATCGCGAAAATCCATCGTTAGTCACGGCCAAAGGCCGTGAGTATTGATCAGCACGCCGTTTCGCTTCAGTCCACCAAATTTGAGCTCAATCCGAAATCGTTGACTTCGAGCCCGTCAGTTCGTCTAGTCGCATAACGGGTCCACCGATCACCTAGGTACATCATCCTCCCCTGCTAGAGAAAGATTCGTCCTCCAATCTGCTTCATCTTCATTGTCGTCGCCAATATCCTCAGGATCTTCTTCCTCTTCAGCGTAGTAAGGTGACAAATCTGCCACATTAAAAGTTCCGGATACATTATACTTACCCGGCAATTCGATCTTGTAAGCATTGTCACTAATTCGCTCCAAAACTCTGAAGGGTCCATCAGCTCTAGGTTGAAGCTTGCCAAATCTACCCGCTGGAATCGTTCTTTCCTAAGGTGAATCCAAACTAGATCACCTTCCTTGAAGACGACTCTTTTCTTGCGTATATCCATGCGTTGCTTATACTTCATGTTCTGCCTATTGATCTGATTATGGACCTGGGAATGCAGCTCTTTGATATGCTTTGCATGTTCTTCAGCTTCTGAACTAAATTGCTTGAGAATTGGTATCGGTGTGAGATCCAACGGAGTAATTGGATTACGCCCATAAACCACCTCAAAAGGAGTCTTGCCTGTAGTTCGATTCTCTGATCTGTTATATGCAAATTCCGCCTGAGGCAACGCCAAGTCCCACTGTCGAGGATTATCTCCAATTAAACTCCGCAGCAAATTCCCTAAGCTTCGATTGATAACTTCTGTTTGACCATCAGTCTGAGGATGATGAGATGAACTAAACTTCAAACTTGTACCCATGTACCTCCAAAGAGTGCGCCAGAAGTGACTCACAAACTTCACATCACGATATGAGGTTATGGACTTAGGAATTCCATGCAGCTTAACAATCTCTTGTAGAAACAATCGAGCAACCTGTGAAGCATCATAGGACTTGCTACACGGGACAAAGTGGGCCATCTTCGAGAATCTATCGACAACCACCATTATTGAATCCTTACTCCATTGCGTTCTTGGTAAACCCAAGACAAAGTCAAGACTGACATCCTCCCACAGTGCAACTGGAACAGGTAGAGGCATATACAATCCTGCATTAGTACTCTTGGTCTTTGCCCATGACATACCCTGCACCTCTCTATAAAACGTGTCACGTCACGCTCCATCCGAGGCCAATAAAAATGTTCACTCAACAAAGCCTTCGTCTTATCCACGCCAAAGTGCCCAGCTAAACCGCCTGCATGTCCCTCAATAATAATAGATTCCCTCAAAGAACATTGAGGAATGCACAATCTGTTACCTTTAAATAGGTAACCCTTCACGATCTGAAATTGCTGAAAAGGCTCTGTTTTGCTCTTCCTCCAGATATCCCCAAAATAAGGATCATCAACATATAAATCCTTAAAAGTATCAAAGCCTAGAACTTTTACCTGCATCGTAGACAGCAAAGAGTGTTTTCTGCTCAAAGCATCTGCCACACTATTTAGCACTCCTGCTTTATGCCTGATGGAAAAACTGAAAACTTGAAGGAACTCCACCCACTTTGCATGCCTTGCGTTTAATTTGTGCTGCCCATTGATGTATTTCAAGGCTTCATGATCAGAAAATAAGATAAACTCTTTTGAAATAAGATAGTGCCTCCAATGCTCCAAACTCCTCACAATAGCATAAAATTCTTTATCATAAGTTGAATATTTCCTTTTCGCCTCGTTCAACTTCTCACTAAAGAATGCTACAGGTTTACTTTTTTGACTTAGGACACCCCCAATACCAACACCTGAAGCATCACAATGCAACTCAAAAATCTCATTAAAATCAGGAAGCACGAGAACAGGTGCTCAGTCACCTTCCTCTTTAATAATTGAAAGGCAGCTTCTGCCTCCTTAGTCCACACAAATTTACTTCCTTTCAGACAATCCATCAGAGGTGCAATAATAGTACTGAAATCCCGAATAAATCTCCGATAAAAAGATGCAAGCCCATGAAAGCTACGTACCTCATGAATATTTTTCGTAATCTCCCAATTTGTAATAGCCTCAACCTTAGCTGGGTCCATATGAATGCCCTCCTTAGTTACTATATACCCCAAAAAGGTCACACGATTAGTCAAGAAGTGACACTTCTTGGTATTAGCATATAATTTCTGCTCCCTCAAGGTCTCGAACACCCTTCTCAAATGCTGCAAGTGTTGATCAGTCGATGCACTATAAACCAAAATATCATCGAAATATACGACGACAAACTGGGCAATAAAAGGACGAAACACCTGATTCATGAGTCTCATAAAGGTGCTCGGTGCGTTAGATAACCCAAAAGGCATCACCATCTGCTCATACAGACCATCTCGAGTTTTAAAAGCGGTCTTCCATTCATCTCCGGACGCACCCTAATCTGATGATATCCACTCCTCAAGTCTATCTTCGAAAAGATAGTCGCTCCATGCAGTTGATCAATTAAATCATCAAATCTCGAGATAGGAAAGCGATACCTGATCGTGATCTTGTTAACAGCTTTGCTATCCACGCACATTCTCCACGACCCATCTTTCTTAGGAACCAACAAAGCTGGCGCTGCACAGGGGCTCATGCTCTCTCGAATTGCACCTTTTTCTAATAGTTCCTGCACTTGCCTCTGCATCTCCTCATGCTCCTTAGGATTCATTACGTAGTTGCCTTATTAGGAATAGCGGCTCCTAGAACGAGATCTATACAATGCTTGAATGTCCTCATGGGTAGCAATCCAGGTGGCAATTCCTGCGTACGACATCGCAAACTCCTCAAGCATAGGCGAGAACTTGAGTTGAAATTTCTAGACTATCAAGATTCTGCTCCATGACTACAACAGCAAAAAGCTCTGGGGCATTCACCGCCTCCTCCCGGAACTCTGATTTGGAAAGCAGATTACTTTTCCCTTCTTTTCTCAGGTCTGAAGGACCCAGAGTAATAGTTCGGCCATCCTTCTTGAAGGTATAAGTATTTTTGAATCCGTCATGCTGTGTTTTCCTGTCAAACTGCCAAGGTCTTCCTAATAGAATATGACAAGCATCCATTGGAACTACGTCAATTGATGCCGAAGCGCGATAGAAATTAGGCTAAACAGAAGAATCGAAACGATAACGAGGAACAAACTGTTCTCTCAATCGATTAACAATCGATAAGTTTTCAAAACATCCAAAAACTACTACCTCTCAAAACCCTAAAAACGAGTTTATAAAGGGTGTTAACCCTAATGACAAAAAAAATGCAAAAATACAAAAATACCCTTAATTCGAAAATTACTAAAATAATTTAAAAAAACCATCTAAATGACCCCGTCAATTATCATCCTACACACCTTTCCCCCACTAGTGCACTTAGTATGAAAGATATTATGCCTAAGCCACGATTCATCATCTACCTCAGCAATATTTAAAACCCAACGCACCACTAAAGACTCACCAGAATCGGCATAGACAATGTCCTCCGGATCTGGATCGGCATCTGCTTGCTCTCCATCAGATTCATCATAAGTTGGGTCTTCATCAAAAATTGGATTATCTGCGAGTGTCACAAACTGTCGGTTCGGACAATCAGCAGCAAAATGCCCGAGTCCTTGACACTTAAAACATCGCTTGCCTGCAGTTCCTCCCCTGCTAGATCCAGCACTACTCTGCTCTCCTTTTGTTGCAGATTTTGAACCAGCGCCCTTAACTGCTGCCGAGGCTGAAGAACTCCTTGCTTTCCCCCGGGACTCTTTATCCGACCACTTGGAACTGCTGCCTGACCACTTAGAACCGCTGCTACACCACTTGGACTTACTGTTTTTTCTTTTAAACTGCCCCTCCACCTTTAGGGCTAGTTTGCACACATCCTCATATGTCCAATACTGCTGTAATTGGACAACATCAGAGATCTCATATCGCAGCCCTGCCAGGTATTGTGCAATCGTCTGCTCGTCTTCCTCCGCCACATCACAGCGCATCCGCAAGCGATCAAATTCTTCTGTAAATTCCTCAACTGTTTTATTATCTTGCTTGACGTTATGATATTCGATAAACGCCTCTTGCCTATAATGGGTAGGCAAAAAAATTTTCTGCAATAACTTTTTCATCTTCTCCCAGCGATCCACCTTCGGCTTCTCCTCTCTAGCACGTTGCTTTTTCACGTGTTCCCACCAAATCGAAGCATGTTTTCGCAGCCTAATAGCCACTAACTTCACTTTTTACCCCTCAGTTAGGTCTTTAAGATCAAAAATCTGTTCTACCGTATGCAACCAATCAATAAACTCATCAGGATGAGCCTTACCATTAAACTCGGGAATCTCGATCTTCATTCCAAAATTTTGAGAAGAGCGCTGATTTTCGGGTCGTACTCCTCGATTCTGCCCCTGGTTCAGAACCCCAAAAGGGTTTACGTCTTCTTCTTCATCATCGGATGAATCCTCAGATTCCGCTTCTTCGGATTGAACGCCCAACCTCGCCTCCGTAAGTTGTCGCTCCAAATCCTGGATTCGTCTTCTCTGTTCTTCAATTTCTACGTCTCGCAGATCTCTTAGACGCGGTTGGTCGTCTGCTTCAGGAACTCCTCCACGCCCCCGGCCACCACGAGCCCGCCGTCCACGACCGCGATTCTGTTCAGCCATTGATTCAAGCAACCTGTGCTTTGATACCAATTGATGCCGAAACGCGATAGAAAAATTGACTGAACAAGAAAATTCGACAGAAGAACAATTCATCCTCCAAATATGATTATCAAATCAAAAATATCCAAGTCTGCTAAAAAGAAACCCTAAAACAAGTTTATATAACCCCAAACCAAGCCCTACTAGGATTAGGAAACATCAAAACGTAAAATTACGAAACTACTCTTTACTAAATTAACCCATAAAAAAATACTAAAAAAAAGAAAAACCCATCTAAACAATCTCGAATCGCGAAAATCCATCGTTAGTCACGGCCAAATGCCGTGAGTATTGATCAGCACGCCGTTTCGCTTCAGCCCACCAAATTTGAGCTCAATCCGAGATCGTTGACTTTGAGCCCGTCAGTTCGTCTAGTCGCATAACGGGTCCACCGATCCCCTAGGTGCATCAAATTGTATGAAATTGTCTAATTTAGCTTAGGAAAAATCCAATTTGGCGCACCTATGGCATGGGTCCAATATTTTTCACGACCAATTAGGTAATTAAATCCATAAAATTTGTAGGTTTGGTTTGATTGGCTTAAATGGATCAAAATTGGACTGTTTCTCTTCAAATTGGACTATTTTTTTTTCTCAAAATTGACGAATCTTTCCTTTCAATTTAGTCCCTCAAAGACTAAATTGCATAAATTTGGAACAATTGAGACTCAACTGCCCAAGAAGAAGACCGAACCGGTTGAACCGGTCAAAACCGGTCCGACCGGTCACCAGCGGAGGAGGCCGGTTCGGCCCTCCTCCGACCAGTTCCTGATCGCTGACGATCAGCAACCGGTGACTCGTCCTTTGAGTAATTCCCCCATGCCCTCCAATTTTTAGATTTTGCAAAAAAGTCATTGGGTTTTGTGAAATTACAAAAATACCCCTAATTAGGTCCTTAATTTCAAAATTAATCAAAACCGTTGATGAGATTAAATCATAGCCATTCAAATTAGCATATGTTAAATGAGGTCTTTGCTTAATCTCCAAGTAAAGGATAAACACAATTCGACCGTTGGATTAAACCGACGACCGAGATTGAATCTTGAGGAGAGTATATAGCTCATTTGCCCTCCTAAATTTGAGAAAGGGGGCGAATTTTACAAAAAAATTCTCTCTCTAATCTGCAATGTCTCTCTCTTCTCTCTCTTTTTCCCACTCTCTCCTTCACGTTCTCTCTCTTTTCTCTCCTCTAAAGACCGCTCACGCGGTTTTCTCAAAGAACCGTCGGTTCACCTCCCACCGGCGGGTCCTTGCCAGCGACACCACCAGCGCTGCCACCCTCTCCGACGTCCGTGTCCGTTCTTTCAACGTCCTGCTGGTCGAAGCCTCGCCGGAGCTACCTCCGATTGCTCCGTCTCTGTGACATTCTGAAATCTGACCCACTTGGGATTTATGAAATGGATGATTTTATGGACGTGCTTGTAGTTAGATCTCGCCCGGAACTGATCACTCATGGGATACTAACCAATAGGGAATGGCTAATTAGGGATTTAAATTCACGCAATAAACGAAACTCGATCGTGAACCGACTTTCGACCATAAAAAATTGTCGAGGTGACATTTTGAGCCAATGTAGGCCGATCCAAGGATAGTTAGGGATCGATTCGTCGCTGTCATATTAGTGGATCGCGGGTGATTCCGCTTTACCACAAGATGAATTGACGAATGACCCTAAACCTATACCAAACGATCGCGCCTGTCGGAACTAGCGATCGATCCTCGCGATTAAGTGACAATCGAGGTCGTCACGACCCGAGTGAACTTAAACGTGGCTTGATTCAGTATCGGCCACGGGTCAAATGTGCGAATTTCCCCAAAAGCCACCCGTTAGTTCGAGATACGCTCAAGTTACGTTATTTAAATTTAGTCATTAATTAGAGACCAAGTTTGGGCATTGGAAATTATGAAGGTCATTACAGGATAATTGGACGATGTTGTTATTAGCTCGGTTAGCCTCATATTTGTCCGGATTCTTCAGAAAATTCGAATTTTGACGAGAAATGAAAAATGACTGTTTTACCCCTGGGATTTTGTTAAGACCAAGTATAATAGGAGATGTGCATTTTGGTCATTTCACACCCACATTAGAGATAGAAATTGTTGGACAATTTTGCCCTTGAAAATTTTGTGAAATTTCAATTTTGCCCCTGGATATTTTTGGCAAGGATTAATCTAGATCGTTGATCTTAGGATAAGATCAAATCGTGGCCATTGGTTTCGAGATAGAGAAGGGTAGGATGGTCACTTGGCAAGGGCTAGACACCAATTATTGGTGCTTTTAATATTTATTTCCAATTTCTCTCTCTCCCTCTCACTCTCTCTCACTCTCTCGGCATCTCTCTCCCTCTCTCCCTCTCGGCCAAGCTTCCTCCCCCACCCCGCCGTGACCGTAGCTAGCCACCAAGGCCAGCCGTCGCCGTCGTTTCCCCGCCGAGCCGGATCAGCCGCACGCCGGAGCCACCGTTGCCGTCGTGGCCGCTCGCCTCACACCACCACGCCTCACCGTCTCTCTCTCTCTCTCCCCTGTTTTTCTCCTCACCGAACACCATCATAGCTCTCACTCGGTTCAGCCCCAGCCGAGGTGAACCAGCAGACCGTCCAGCCACAGCCGCCGTCGTCGTACGCCCGTCGAGTGGCCGCCGACTTGCCGCCCCTCCCTTCAGCCCTAGCTAGACTAGGATTATAAGTAAGTGGCCTCCTAAAACTTACTTAGGGTATCGGGTATCGACGGATTTGATTAGGGGCTGAATCGGGTTGATTAGTGACGGTTTAGGGGTTAATTAGTAGCTGTTTAGGGGTTATATTAGTAGACTGATTTGGGGACTGGAATTAGCTGAATTGTGGATGAATTTGTGATGTTTCGGGACTGATTTGATGCTGAGTTGAGTCCAGGAAATCGTGGCGTGAAATGAGGAGCATATGGTCCGATTTAGGGACTAATTGTGTCGGTTTGGTGTGTTGTGTTGCGGCTGGTTTGTGGTGATTGTTATGGCTGAAAATAGACTTGGAAATGTTGAATTTATGCTCACGATAGTGACTGTGATTGTGGGTCCAATGGCGGCCTTGTATGCTCATTGGATTCTGAATTGATTGATTGAAATGTGGACCGTTATATGCGCGCATGGGCTGAATTGAATTGACTGGCAATTGGCCATGATTGGGTGTTAATTGAGCATGTGAAATGCGTGAGGTTCGATGCGTGCATGGGCTGAATTTGATCGGCTGATGATTTGGCATGTTGGTGTGTAAGTCGAGCATGTTCGTATGAGGTTCGAGCGAGTGATTAAATGAAAAATTTATGTGGTATGTCGTGCGTGTGGTCACGAGAGTCCCTGAGGTGTGTACTGTAACGCGGGGAATTGAGCCATCCTGAGGCGTGTACTTTAACGCTGGACAATGCCCGGTATTACCGGAAGACTGCCAACTTGAGGCGTGTACTTCAACGCGGGTTGTGCCGTAGGTGGTGGATGTTGAGCCTGAGGCGTGTACTGTAACATGGGCTAAGAAGTGTTGTGAATATGAGATGGTCGCGTGTAGACCGTGAATTGACAGTGGACCTGAGGCGTGTATTGTAACGCGGGTCGCTGGCAAGTCAAATGAAAATAGTGTGATGAGGCATGAACGAGTGTGTGAAATGCGGAATTGGAAATGCCATATGTTCGACTTGTGTTTCGGGAATGCGATTATGTTGCAATGCGCATGTGGTTGGAAATTGTGTAATTGAGACTAACCTGCAGATTGCGCGTATCAAAAGCCCAGGTAAGTGCATTTGTGTGCATGATGTGTGTTTATTGGGTGATATTATGTTTGGTCTTGTCTGGAGGTACGTATTAGCCTAGGTAGGGTTTAGGGTGTTTACTTGCTGAGACGTGTCTCATGGTTGTTTCAACCAAACAATTTTAGAACCCCGGCCTGGACCATGAATCTCCCACAGCCACCGCCTGAGCGTTTTGGTCTATCGATGCACACTGAGCATAACGTTGTAGAGTACCCGATAGACGATAATATGGCCTGAATCAAGCATACTACCGTAGTCTGGGTAGACATAGGACAGCCCCTTTGGCAAGCCCACACTTATACCGCTTGGTTTTTTCAGGATGGGCTGGACGAGTTCGGCCCGGTCCGTGGGTTTGATGTCCCTTTTGACGGAGTGGGAGATTGGGATCCGTTTGCCATACCCCCTCACGATGGTGAGATGACTAGCCTGGATACTAGTCTCGCCCAATCCGGACATCAGCACATACCCACAGCACCCGAACCTTCAGTGGCTGAGCCTAATCCGGAGCCGGAGGAATCACAGGCAGGGTATGATCCCATGGATGTGGATCTAGGTGTAGTGCCAGAGGAGGGACCCAGAGAAGAAGACCCCAAGGAAGAGCCTGAAGAGGCACCGGAAGAAGAACCCGAAGATGAACCAGAAGAAGATCAAGAAGTAGAGCCAGAAGAGAAACCAGAAGGAGATCTGGAATTAGAACAAGAAGAGCAACTTGAGGATGAGCCAAAGGAAGAGCCAGATGAGGAGTCCGAAGAGGAAGAGTGGATTGAAGTTTCGCTAGAGTCGGGTGATGAGGACAACCCGATTGAGATCGAGGCTGATTCAGAGTCCTCAAAGGAGCTGGTTGATCAGGGGGTTTCAGATTTGGATTCCGGGGAGACTGAATCGGAGTGGACGTCGTCTAGCGGGCGTAGGGGCTAGTTTAGGGGTTGAGTAAATCTTTTGAAGTGTCCCATTTTTGGAAATTAGGGTATACCCAGGCTACTAATCCTTTTTTTATATCGGTGGTGTGAAGTCTAGAAGTTCGGTGTGCATGTATATTATGTGGCTTGTAAACGGTGGATATTGTATAAGTTTGAATCAGTAATGGATGTATATTCTCCCTTTTACCCCTAGTTAAATATTGTTCGGGTGTTTGTGGCTTTCGCTAATGCTTTATCTCTGATGTGTTAGTTTGGGTCGGCGGCGTTTCCTGGGCTGTCGCACTAATTCGACCAAAGAGGGATGCCACGAGCTCGATGGGGCTCGGGGTGTGACAGTCTCTCCTTCTCTTCCCGCGGCATTTTGAACTGGTCTGAATCGGATCGGTTTTGTTCAGCGGCTGGTCCAGGTGATCCAACCACCGTTGATCCCTCCCCAGGCGTGTTCCCAACCTTGCTGTGATCGAAGCTTCATCGAAAAACCACCAAAGAAGCTTTGGTGGCTCCTTTTCCTCAGCGAGTCTGTTCGGTTCAACCGGACCGATCCGATTCCTCTCCCTCGTTGGCGCTGTTCCGGCGTCGATCCGACATCACCGGACCTTCCTTGGTGTCTTCTGGTGGTTGACGTCCGTCCTTGGTGAGCTAAGATCCCTCAGAGCGCTTCGTACATTGATTGACACAAATTGATTGATCATGTTTTTACGCGATAACAAAAGGTAATCTCTCAGTCTCGAATCCGATGAAGCAAGGCTACAATAGGTAGCCGGGGCTAGGATTCACCTTAGGACTTTCTATGGACTCCATATTGATGGTTTATGGCTGTTGATTACATGTTTGATGATTTGATGATGATGTTCTTGAAGTTGGAAGTGTTGCGAAATTCAAATCGGCATTAGTATAAAAATTACAAACAATACAGAATCGCAAATAAACGAAATTGCAATAACAAAGTTGGAATCGATACAAATGAATACTGAGGCTTGTGTTTGACACAGTTTCCTTAAAACAGATTCGTTCCCTTCAGGACGCGTCCGAGGTTTCGTGAACGTCTGTCTCTCAGGATACAACGGTTGACTGCTAAGAAGTAATCAGGACTTCAAAGCTTCGAGCGAACTTGAACAAATTGCGGAACTGAACACTATCGAAAACCGTGCAAATACAGAGAATATAAAACAGAGGAAGAATGATTTCGAAAAAATAGAACGCAGGGGAGAGCATTTCGGGAATAATAACGGCCGATTAAATCTGTCGTTACAAAATCAATACGAATAACGGACGATTAAATCTACCGTTATAAAATCAATACGAATAACGGACGATTAAATCCGCCGTTATAAAATCAATACGAATAACGGATGATTAATTTTGCCATTATAAAATCCGCACGTTACGAAATTCGTAACAGTTTGAGTTGAAAAAAATAAATCAGAAGGCAAAATTGGGCTCTTCGCGAGGCCCACTTTTCGGTCCTGCAATCGTGTACGCGGGATGTGCGCTCGCGCCCAAGTTTCAACTTGTCGGGCGTCGGATTTGCACCCCCCCTGCGCCTGCGCGCGAGGCAGAGAGTTTGTGCTATGATAGTTACCACTTCAAATAAGTGTAACTGTATATAAAGCACTCCATAGCCTTCTTTCTTTTCCGATGTGGGAATAGTGTTTTTCACTTCCCACTTCCAACTCAAGGGTGTTCTTTGAGCATCAATTTCTCATTCATTCACCCATCAATTTATCCCATATTTCCAACAATCCCCCACATGAATGAAAATTGTTTTAGTTTTGACTCTGTGATAGTGTTCAACAATTGAAACCTGTATAGGATAGGTAGGTATTACCCTTTGAACCTTCCCTTGTGAAAGTATATTTACTTTACTAGTTGTCCAGTAGACATGATATCCTTGAACTGTCCAGCTTTCTTATGTAAATGAACCATACACTTCACACAGGAATCATCTAAACGTTTGTTCAGTTCTCATAGTTATGTTCGTTTTGGCCATGAACATCAACCTGGTTCTGCAAGAGTTTCTAAAGAATTTAGCCCTAATAATTCTCCTTTGAAGCGGCCCCACTTCTCTCTTACATAGGTGATTACTTAATTTTGAGTAATTTGTTTACTCCACTTAAGAATCATTAAAGCAAAAATGCTATCCTTTCCTTTATAATATCACTGTTATTTTATATAGGAATGGTTTTAGGGATAACCCCCACAGTGACATCACTAAGTTTATATAATTAGGTTGTCCCTTTGAACCTAGATCTTGGGATCTCCAGTCAACTAGGTTGGGTTTCCTTTATATCAACTTATTCTTTCATGGGCTTCAGTCCCATTCCTCTTGTCGATTTCTCAACTAACTTTCTGTTTAACCCTTTGGTTAGCGGATCCGCAATATTATCCCTTGACTTTACGTAGTCAATGGAGATAATTCCTGTTGAGAGTAGTTGTCTAATGGTATTATGTCTACGACGTATATGTCTAGACTTACCATTATACATATTACTCTGTGCTCTTCCAATCGCAGATTGACTATTACAATGTATACTTATTGGTGGCATAGGTTTTTGCCATTTTGGAATATCCTCTAAGAAATGGCGTAGCCATTCAGCCTCTTCACCACATTTATCTAATGCTATAAATTCAGATTCCATTGTGGATCGGCTATATGATTGTTTACGGGATTTCCAAGATACTGGCTGCTCTTGCTAGTGTGAATACATATCCACTAGTAGATTTTGAGTCTTTTATATCAGATATCCAGTTCGCATCACTATATCCTTCCAGAACAGCTGGGTATCTGGTATAATGCAGGCCATAATTCCGAGTATATCGTAAGTACACGAATACTCTCACTATTGCTTTCCAATGGTCGGCACTTCGGATTGCTTGTGTATCTACTTAATTTACCAACCGTATAGGCAATGTCCGGTCTAGTACAACTCATTAAGTACATTAGACTTCCAACAACTCTAGAGTACTCTACTTGAGAAATACCCTCTCCTCTATTCTTGGAAAGATGAAGACTATTGTCTAATGGTGTTCTAGCAATACCAGAATCATTCATGTTGAATTTTTCAAGAATCTTGTCCACATAGTGTGACTGGTTTAAAATAAGACCTTCTGATGTTCTTATGATTTTAATTCCTAAAATCATATCAGTAGGTCCCATATCTTTCATGTCAAATCTTGAATTCAACATATACTTGGTAGATTTGATCATTTTATCATCACTACCAACAATTAATATGTCATCTACGTAAAGACATAAAATGACATAGCCATTTGTTGTCTCTTTAATGTAGACACATTTATCACATTCATTAATCTTAAAACCATTGGTAATCATTGCATTATCAAACTTTTCATGCCACTGTTTTGGTGCTTGTTTTAGGCCATACAATGATTTCACCAATTTACAGACTTTTCTTTCTTGTCCTGGAACTATAAAACCCTCAGGTTGTTCCATGTAGATTTCTTCATCCAAATCACCATTTAGGAAAGCTGTTTTTACATCCATTTGATGTACTTCCAGATTTTGCAATGCTGCAATTGCAATTATCATCCTAATGGAGGTTATTCTCGTCACAGGAGAATAAGTATCAAAGTAATCTAAGCCTTCTCGTTGTTTGTATCCTTTGATCACAAGTCTGGCTTTGTACTTATCAATGGAGCCATCTGCTTTCATCTTCCTTTTAAAAATCCATTTGGACTTTAAAGGCTTACAACCAGGAGGAAGATTCACTAGCTCCTAAGTATGATTCTGCAAAATAGAATCAACTTCACTTTTTATTGCTTCTTTCCAAAGAGGTCCCTCAGAAGAATTTACAGCTTCTGCATAATTTAATGGTTCCTTTTCTAACAAATAAGTTAGAAAATCATTTCCAAAAGATTTTTCCACTCTTGCTCTTTTGCTATGTCTCGGTTCTAGTTCATGATCTGAGTCATGAATTTCATGAGCCGAATCGTGACTTTCTTCATTCATAGTTTCATTCTTTCGTTTAGATGAACTTGATCCATCATTGGATTTACAAGGAAATGCATTTTCAAAGAATGATGCATTCCTAGATTCCATGATCGTATTCTTGTGTATATATGGAATTTTAGATTCATGCACAAGAAATCGATATGCATTACTGTTATGTGCATAGCCTATAAAGATACAGTCCACTGTTTTAGGACCTATCTTTGTCTTCTTTGGTGTTGGAACCGCCACTTTTGCAAGACACCCCCACACTCGCAAGTGTTTGTAGGATGGTCTCCTACCTTTCCATAACTCATAAGGGGTTTTATCCTCTTTCTTTCGAGGTACCTTATTTAAAAGGTAATTGCTTGACAATATAGCTTCTCCCTACATATTTTGAGGCAAACCTGAATTTAGTAATATCGCGTTCATCATTTCTTTCAATGTGCGATTTTTACGTTCAGCAACACCATTTGATTGAGGAGAGTAAGGCGCAGTTATTTCATGTATAATTCCGTGTTGTGCACAAAATTCACCAATTGGTACTTCATACTCGCCACCTCTATCACTTCTCAATCTTTTAATTTTCTTATTGAGTTGATTTTCAACTTCATTCTTATAGAGAACAAATTTCTCTAAGGCTTCGTCTTTGCTTTTAAGCAAATACACATAGCAGTATTTGGTGTTATCATCGATAAAAGTAATAAAATATTTATTACCACCTCTCGTTTGAATGAATTTCAAATCGCAAACATCACTATGCATTAATTCAAGGGGTTCAGTGTTTCTTTCAATTGTTTGAAATGATGATCTCGTTAATTTTGCCTCAACACAAATTTCACATTTATGTTTTGAATCAATTTGAAATGAAGGTATATGTTCCAAGTTAATTAATCTACGCAATGTATCATAATTAACGTGTCCTAGTCTACCATGCCATAAATTGGAAGACTCAAGCAAATAAACGGAAGACTTATTATTTTTATTGATAATTGTCATTACATTGAGCTTAAAAAGCCCATCAGTTACATATCCCTTCCCCACATACATTCCGGATTTAGACAAAATAACTTTATCTAACTCAAACACCATACGAAATCCATGCTTGTTCAACAGAGACCCAGAAACCAGGTTCTTTAGGATTTCTGGCACATACAGGACATTGTTTAGAGTCAGCTCTTTTCCAGAGGTCATCTTCAGCAACACTTTCCCTTGGCCTTCGACAGCAGAAGAGGCAGAGTTTCCCATAAAAACCTTTTCCCCATTTATTGGTTCAAGATTTGTGAATAGGTCCTTGTTAGAGCATATGTGCCTAGTGGCACCAGTGTCAATCCACCATTCTTTCGGATTGGACCCAACTAAGTTTACTTTAGAAACCATTGCAGAAAGGTTTATGTTTGACACGTCTTGAGCGATGCCATTCACCATATTTGTCTCATAATTCTTCTTCTTTGGAAGTCTGCATTCCATAGATCTATGCCCCATTTTACCACAATTGAAGCATTTTCCTTGGAACTTGTTCTTGGAAACTCCTTCTTTTGGCCCCAGCTTTGGCTTGGCAATCTTCTTGTTCTTGTGGCCTTGTCTAAGCTCCACAACATTTGCCTTAGCTGTATTAGGATTGAACCCTTTGCGTTCAGATCCTCTATTGTCTTCTTCGATTCGAAGTCTAACAATCAGCTCTTCCAGGTTCATTTCCTTTCGCTTGTGCTTGAGATAGTTTTTGAAATCCTTCCACCCAGGAGGTAGCTTTTCAATAATAGCGGCCACTTGGAAGGTTTCACTCAAGATCATTCCTTCAGCCTGAATTTCATGCAAGATCACTTGAATTTCTTGCACTTGACTGATCACAGTCTTAAAGTCCACCATCTTATAATCAAGGAATCGACCGACAACAAATTTCTTTGCTCCGGCATCCTCTGTTTTATATTTCTGGTCCAAGGCTTCCCATAACTCCTTTGCCGTCTTTTTTTGCACAATAGACATTGTACAATGAGTCATGTAAACCATTCATGACATAGTTTCTGCACAGGAAGTCAGAGTGCTTCCAGGCTTCAACAGCGTTGAAGGCTTGCTTATCCGTTTCTCCATCGGATATCTTAGGAGCTTCCTCAGTCAAGAATCTCGCAAGATTCAAAGTTGTTAAATAAAACAACATCTTCTGTTGCCACCTTTTAAAGTTCGATCCGTCGAACTTTTCAGGTTTCTCACCGTGATGGACAGAAACCGCAGGATGGACAGAGGATGAGCCAGGCAGTTGGACAGCTGAGGCATAGGCAGAGTTTTTGGCGATGTTGTCAGCAGCCACATCGACACCATCGTTTTCAGCAGCCACATCCACGACTTCTTTACCCGTAGCCATTTGAATTTCTAAAAGCGCGGATCTGTTTTAAGATTGTTGCAAAATTCAAATCGGCATTAGTATAAAAATTACAAACAATACGGAATCGCAAATAAACGAAATTGCAATAACAAAGTTGGAATCGATACAAATGAATACCGAGGCCTGTGTTTGACACAGTTTCCTTAAAACAGATTCGTTCCCTTCAGGACGCGTCCGAGGTTTCGTGAACGTCTGTCTCCCAGGATACAACGGTTGACTGCTAAGAAGTAATCAGGACTTCAAAGGTTCGGGCGAACTTGAACAAATTGCGGAACTGAACACTATCGAAAACCGTGCAAATGCAGAGAATATAAAACAGAGGAAGAATGATTTCGAAAAAATAGAACGCAGGGGAGAGCATTTCGGGAATAATAACGGCCGATTAAATCTGTCGTTATAAAATCAATACGAATAACGGATGATTAATTCTGCCATTATAAAATCCGCACGTTACGAAATTCGTAACAGTTTGAGTTGAAAAAAATAAATCAGAAGGCAAAATTGGGCTCGTCCGCGAGGCCCACTTTTCGGTCCTGCAATCGTGTACGTGGGATGTGCGCTCGCGCCCAAGTTTCAACTTGTCGGGCGTCGGATTTGCACCCCCCCTGCGCCTGCATGCGAGGCAGAGAGTTTGTGCTATGATAGTTACCACTTCAAATAAGTGTAACTGTATATAAAGCACTCCATAGCCTTCTTTCTTTTCCGATGTGGGAATAGTGTTTTTCACTTCCCACTTCCAACTCAAGGGTGTTCTTTGAGCATCAATTTCTTATTCATTCACCCTTCAATTTATCCCATATTTCCAACAGGAAGATGATCTGCAATTTCGAGTTTCTGGACCTGCTTTCTGTTTTGTCGATTTTGACCTGTTAAACTTCATTTCTGGACTTCGACACCTTCTGGACTCTCGTAATACGCTTGGAGAGCTTCGATTTGATATCTTACGGCACTCGATTTGGTATCGTTTACTACCTGAAAACCTATTCTAAAGTTTGCATCAGAATTAGAAGTTCTGTTGTTCTGTTTCTTCAAGTTTTTACACGATTTGAACAATTTTGCTAATTTTTTGCTGATTTTTCTGTTCGGATCTGGATGTTGTGGTCTTCATAAAAGTTGCTGAGAATCATCTTGATTATAACTTGTGTTTTTTCTAGATTTGTCTGATGTGTCTAGATGAATGAAATCCTCTGTGAATCGACCTAAGGTCTGAAATGGCTTTCTGCATTGATTACTCTGAATCAGGTTGTTCGGTTTGATGATTTTTTGCTGCCTTGTGTGTTGAGATTCAATAGGAGTTGTCCCATGAAAAATGATCTAAATCAGGTTGTTTATAATATATATTTTGCTCGGAATTTTTGGAATATGCCTAAGTGTGGAAAACTGATGAAATTTGACCTCTGCACATGCTAATTTTGCCCGACCTGCACTGTTGTTGATTTTTTTTCTGATTTTTATGCTAAGATTTAAACTTAGGTCTCTCATGAAAAATGTTCACATATGTCTTGATTGCAACATATAAATTTTTCAGATTTTTTGGAGATAAGTAGATGGGTAAAAACCTCTGTGAACTGACTTTATGTCTTGTCTGCCTCTAATGGAACGCGAATTGGATTTGCTAAAAATTGAATATGCGATTGTGATTTCCTGACCCTGATGTCTTCATGAAAGTCATGGTATAGTTCATTACCTTTTAAAAAAGGTATAATTCGTGTCATTCGGTCATCATCTGCATGGTCAATCGCATGCTCATTGTTGAATCCCTGTTCTGTAATTGTTGATTTCAAGGAACCGGATCTGTTTTCCCATTTTTACATGTTTTTTTTTAGAATCACAATTAGGTTTGGATTTCTCATGAAAAACGTTCATCATGTTGTATACTATTCACATGATTTATATCACATTTTTTGCCATGCCATGAGGATAGTAAACAACATGTATCTTGTGAGCTCATCTGCTGCAATTCATTACTGATATGCATCATTGTAGAAACCTTTTCAATTGATCATGAAATTGTTGTTAATCAAACCCGATGCCTTCTAGAAAGTCTTAGAACACGTCTTAAGCTTTCTAATGATGCCGAGATTGTCTCATTTGCATGTCCATAGACCCCTTTACTATTTTTATGAGGTTCCCCTGAAATCTGGAAAATTGTAAATTCGGAATGCTTAATGTGCCAATTCTGCGTTTGCGCTTTGCTGATTTTGTGTGAATTTTTCGGAAAAGATTTTGATGATGAGTTCTTCATGGACTTTGATTTTCATTCCCAGACCTAGGTCGTGAAAAAATTTGATAATTTTTGGACAACATTAACATGCCCAAATTTCCATGAGGTTGCTCTGAAAATCTGCTCCTATGTTCTGTTCTGATGCACTTATTCATATTCTGTGATTTTGTAAATTCATGTGTAGCTTATCTTAGGAAGTTTTCTCACAAACAATGTTCGTTGTTGTGTGCTTGATGTACCATAAATTTTCCAAAACTATTTGACCATGGGTCCTTTTCCAATTGAATGCATCTTGTATTCCCTGTTCTGCTGTTCTTTGTTTTTCCTTTATGATTTGTCTTTGTTTTAGGATTTTTAGAAAATAATGCATGCTGAACCGGTTTTTAATGTTTTCACGAGTTTTAATTCTCACAATTTATCGATTTTCTAGTGCATCTGCTTGTGATTGGCGCGTGATGAATTAAATGAGGTGACCCGATGTCGGTTCACTAATTTGAGTGATTGGATGAGAATCAAGGTCTTTTGACCTGTTTGCATGCTTAATTCATCGCTATGCTATGTGATTTTTAGATGTATGCCTAGGGATGGTGCATGATCGTGGGTCCAAATTGGGGATTACACATAGAAACTGATTTAGGAATTCATGGTATTAATTGCTGTTGGTGAACATCAATGGTAGTTAATAACCATGAATTGTGTATAAAATGAACATGAGTAGATAATAAGAGGTATCGATGCATGTCGGAACAAAGGCCGACCCTGAGGCAACCTTTGAAATTCTTCGTCCCTTGTTTGTTATCTTTGATTGACTTGTGATGCTGTGTACTTTGTGATTGTATATTGTTTGTTGTTGTTCTTTCTTTAGTTTCAGTTTTAGATTAGGGTTAGAATAGGTCCAAAAAGATGACGGTCTTGAATATGGCGAAGGTCGATGTCCATTCCGACTCTATTCTTTGTATACGGCGATGGTCGAAGTCCATTTCGATCTATTTTCTTGTAAAAATTCATTCATTACCCAACATATGTCTCGGGTTTCTTATACACGTTGTATAAACACCCAATGAGTTGCCAGTTTTTCTTCCTTGCACCTAGAATTAGCTAGTTCTTTCAATACCTTGGTTGTTTACTTTACGCAGTGCTTTTTAATACAATTGTTTGTTGATATTTTTTTTTTCTTTCTTTTCTAGACTAAGAGAGGATTAGTTTAGATTATTAAATGAAAACACAAAAACAAGATGCATGATCACATAGTGGACTAGGACTTTGGCATGAAAATGCTAAAAAAATAAATGCATGACAACTTAGATGACAGCCATGATAAGTTTAGCAGTATCGAAAGGGTGTTAATAGAAATATTAACGTAAGCTAGTCCTCCAACTCATGATCTCCGGTTTTCGTAGAAACCGAAACGAAACTCCCGCGTTTCAGTTGGGTATTCTAGCCGACCCCCGACCTAGGCTAGTGGCGACTCCTAAAAAAAATAAAATCGATCCGTTGTCACGCGAGGTATGGATTTAGGAAAATGCACGTTCATGATCAATGAACTATATGGATTACCAAAAGATCGATGCTTTGGTAAGCCATCTTTTATGATGTGCCAAATGGACCGTATAGATGACTAAAAGATTGACGCTTTGGTAAGCCATCTTTTATGATGTGCCATGCCGACCGTATGGATGACTAAAAGATCGACGCTTCGGTAAAGCTATCTTTTATGATGCGCCATATGGACCGTTTCATGAACACTTACTTCTAAACCCGCTTCATCGAGTTCGGCTCTCGAGAGGTAGGTCGCGATAGTATTTTTTTTTTCATTTTTGGAACCTTTTTTCTATTGGAAAACTTCTTTTCTTTTTAGTTTTTTCAAATGTCTACTTAAGCGAGCCACGCTAGAAATTGGTCGAGATAATTACCAAATCAATCATAAACCTACTATGCGGTTGCCAATTCAGTCCTAAACTTAATCTTTATGCAAATTTCCAATATAATTCTTCTAGCCAATTGCCGCCGGAAATTGCTGGAGTAACGTAAACTCATTCTCGACTGTTCTACGTGGCATGCTGGCCTTGACAACTTTACTTGACATATCCTACGTGGATCGCCAAGTCAGTAATTTCTGGCAACAATTGCTTGGAAGAATTACAATGAAATTTAGCGCAAAGTTTTAGGAATACATTGGCACAATCAAGAAGTTTAAGTAGACTGAACTGACATCCATACAATAAGTTTAGGTTTGAATTGGTAAGTTCCCTAGAATTTGTTCGTGCCAACAATACCACTTCTGCAGTTTGACTATTTATTAATGCCTTACGACGGAACAAATTGATTACGCAAGTCCCACTAGTAAGAGGACTCCATTGTAGGGAAATGAAAACTATGAGGACGAAGTTGCAAAACTAAGAAAAGTTAAGGGACATGCACAAAGGAATCAGAACAATGCAGGCTTTGTTCACATCTGGATTAATGCTATCCATCAAGCCGTGAGGCCAAACGTTTGATGTCCCAAAGGACCAACCTCATGTGATTATCTTTTTAAGTTATCAATTATATTGTTTACAGAAATGGCATCGTCGAAGTATCTTCGACAGGCCAAGAGTCTTTCCTTCACTCAAACAAAGCCGAAGCTTAGAGGACGAAATTACAAAACTAAGAAAAGTTAAGGGACATGCACAAAGGAATCAGAACAATGCAGGCTTTGTTCACATCTGGATTCATGCTATCCATCAAGCAGTGAGGCAAAACGTTTGATGTTCCAAAGGACCAACCTCGTGTGATTATCTTTTTAAGTTATCAATTATATTGTTTACAGAAATGGCATCGTCGAAGTATCTTCGACAGGCCAAGAGTCTTTCCTTCACTCAAACGAAGCCGAAGCTTAGAGGACGAAATTGCAAAACTAAGAAAAGTTAAGGGACATGCACAAAGGAATCAGAACAATGCAGGCTTTGTTCACATCTGGATTCATGCTATCCATCAAGCCGTGAGGCAAAACGTTTGATGTCCCAAAGGACCAACCTCGTGTGATTATCTTTTTAAGTTATCAATTATATTGTTTACAGAAATGGCATCGTCGAAGTCTCATCGACAGGTGAAAGGGATCACGTATTCCTCAAGGTATCGCCAATGAAAGGATTGTCCCGATTTGGTAAGAAAGGGAAATTAAGTCCACGGTTGGTGGGACCTTTTGAGGTGTTGGAAAGGATTGGAGATTTAGCGTATCGACTCGCCTTACCGCCAAACTTATCTCAGGTGCACAATGTATTCCACGTGTCGATGTTGAGGAAGTATGAATCGGATCCAGCTCAGGTACTGAATTATGAGGAGATAGTGTATGACAAAGTGTCATACGTGGAAAGACCGGTGCGGATCGAGGATAGGAAGGAACAAGTCTTAACGAGCGAGACAATCCCACTGGTCAAGGTGATTTGGGAATATCACGGGACCGAAGGCGCTACTTGGGAAAGCGAGGAACTGATGAGACATCATTACCCCCAGTTGTTTGAATAGTATGGTTTTGATTGTAAATTTCGAGGACGAAATTTTTATAAGGGGGGAAGAGTTGTGACATTCCAAATTTTGACCCACTTGGTATTTATGAAATGCTTGATTTCAATAACGCACTTGTAGTAAATCTCACCCAGACTTGATCACTCTTGGGATACTAACCGTTAGGGAAAGGCTAATTAGGGATCTAGATTCGCGGGACCATAGAACCTGACCATGGATTGACTTTCGACCATAAGGATTGTCGAGGTGATATTTTGGGCTAATATAGACCGATCTAAGGATGGTCATGGATCG